TCGTATCAGAGGAGAGTAAGGGGAGGGGGGAAGGGGGGGGGTTGCGCGGACTCGACCAAGTTTCTCAACCAATGATCTACCCTGGTTGCGTTCGGCGCCCTGCCAGCGAGTTCTCCATCCTGTTGAAGACAGTAGGTGACAGCAAGCGCCCTGCCAGCGAGTTCTCCATCCTGTTGAAGAGAGTAGGTGACAGCAACGGGTGGAGAGCGACTGAAGCGAACCACATGATACAGCCTTGTCACTTGCCGAAGGTAAAAAACGGATTGGTTCTGCGCCAACGCTGCCGCGCTGACGCACCCCATTATCCGCAGCGAACGAGACTATACGTGGCCTGTATCCGACTTCAGGGTGAACACGGATGTGTGGAAAGCTCATCCCGGGTGAAACAGCGTAGTCCTCCAAACCAAAAAAAAATACAGGGCGATGTTTCGTCCGCTGTCTCTTTTCTGCCCTGCGTTCATTTTTCCCGATGGCTCTATTGTATACCGGCGTGTATGTAACAGCATGGATAATCTAATGTAATAGTACGAACAAGCAAGCGATTTTCAACCTTAGTGACGAGATTTCCAACTTGACCAAGCTCTTTTGAGCGCCCGACCTGAGTTGCGCACAATCGTCGCGAGGAACCGCCCACTGGACGAGTTGCCCGTTGTGGGGAAATGCCACGACAGTTGTGAGTATTGGTTTTATTTTATTCTTCTTTTTATATTCGGTACACTCTAGACAAGTTTCTCATTTTCAATTGTGAGAACTTCTGGTGCATTTGTTCTTAACGTAAAATTCCTAGGAAGTAGACTGTTCCACACCGGTTTTTTGTCTCATTTCTTTCGTTCTCATCTTCGTTTTGTCTGTGCTTTTTGTAGTAGTGAAGCTTCGTACACAAGTTTATATTCTGAGCAGAAATGACGATTGCAAGCATGAAAAATTGTTTTCTAGTCTCAGGGAAACCCCGATTTATGCAACCAGTCCCTTCTGAAAACCTCATTGCTTCTTTGTTTTCGTTAAGTTCTTTATACTGTTGCCTATGCAATTCTTTAATAATTCGATGCATATCCTTCTCCATCCGTCGTTCTTAATGTTTCCCTTAGTTGCAAAGTAATTCTTGTACAATTATGGTTTATTAAGGTTTGGGCATTGTGTGATGCAGGCTGTTCACGTACTTAGGAAACTTTTCGATGACTATCAGAAGTCAACACCGTCAAGACTCAAGATCATTGACGCTTACATGGTGTACATATTACTGACTGGCATTGCGCAGGTGAGCTCTAGCAGTATTAATCTCTTCCAGAGGCAGTGTTCATACCCCTTGCCAAAAAGGAAAAATTGGCAATCTGAAGAATTGGAGGAACCGCGAAGAGAGGCCAGTATACGTATCACTCTCTACAAAAGAGTGCGATAGAATTGACGAATTGTAGAGATATCAATGCATATGCTTTCTTCTTCGCGGTTTCCTCAATTCGTCAGATTG